AAAGAGCCAGTAAACTGATCTAAGTAACTTTGTAAACAAGATTCTTCGTAATAAAAATACAGTTAAACTGTGGAAAGTCGCGAAATGTATGAAGGTAGGAAAAATGTGATTATGACAGAGCCAGTAAACTGATCTAAGTAACTTTGTAAACAAGATTCTTCGTAATAAAAATAGTTAAACTGTGGAAAGTCGCGAAATGTATGAAGGTAGGAAAAATGTGATTATGACAGAGCCAGTAAACTGATCTAAGTAACTTTGTAAACAAGATTCTTCGTAATAAAAATACAGTTAAACTGTGGAAAGTCGCCGAAATGTGTAATTGCTAAAAAAAAAGTAATTCTTTGTGAAACTTACTTGCAGAGACACCTTTCTGATTTCAACTTTACTAACATATCTATACTGCACAACACTGTAAACGTTTTAACACTCAAGTCGTATAGTATACATATTGTCTTCACTGATCTTTGAATATTTGTGACTTGTATGGATCAAAAGTTTATTAAGTCTTCATTGTTCATCCACATCCTTATGATGATGTGCGATTTCTTATGGCTCCTGGTTTTTAAATTAATCACACTCGGCTGTTTTTTAAACTTAACTGACAGTTGTAATCAAAATGAAATTTTATGTTTTTCTTTGTCAACACATTTTAATCGTCGTTATATAGCAGAGCAGTCTCATGTCGGGTTATCATATTCGAAATACAGTGTCATATCATTAACCCATTGACTGCTGATTGGCCGTATAGAGTAAGGTCAGCCTCCGGCAGTTGAATGCGAGTGTGCTGTATACAATGTACGGTTCGCAAAAATTCCGCGCGCGTTTAAAGCAGCCGCAGTCAAAGGGTTAATCTCTGTAGCAGAACACTCTTGTTTGGTTATCATGTACAAAGTACGATGTCGTATCATTCTACGTAGAATAATAGTATGTCTGGTTATCATGTACACAAGATACAGTGCCATATTAATCCCCGTAGCATAATAGTTTCATGTATGGTTATCACGTACAGTACCATATCGGTAATCCTTCGTTGTCATATGGTAAGATATTGCCATTTAATTTTCTGTAACAGTGTTGTATTCTTAATTTTCTATAACACGTTACTTGCATGTTAGTGGTGTTTGTGACTAGGCCTCCTAATAAGAATAACCCTATCTTCGTATCAGAACCAAACATAATTTATAGAAAGTCCCCTAGTAATAACAGTAAAACCCGGTGCCGTCGTCCTTTGGATCGACAGAGCTGAAGTCCAGTCAACTAGTGACATCAAGCCCTATGCATAACGCTGGAAAATATTATTGTTTCTAATTGGCGGAGCAAAAATAATTCATGTTTCTAGTCGATGAATGTTGGAGGAGGAATAATCCATTTTTAAACCTTCGAAACAGGAAGTGTTGGGTAAATAAATACCTATGTTTCTGGTCTATAGTTGTTAGAGCACGAATGACCGTTTCTTCCAATCTTGGGAACAGAAAATTTTTATGTCGTCATAGCAACAAAAACCATTTTTCTAGTCGGGCTAGATGTTCTATGTTTTTGCAGGAATGGCCTGTGTTTCTAATCTTCGGAGACGGAAAGCTTCGTGTCGTTACAGCAAAGAAGATCCATATTTTTTTGTCGTTGGATGAGGAAAGCCTAAAAACAATTAAAAGTAATTTTGTGCATTATTTCAAGGTAGTTTTTGTCGTCAAAACAGGATGGTTGCATGTCATCTTAGCCTGTCTTCGGTCGTCAGAGTGGTTGTGATGTGTTTTCTGTCAAATCATATCACAGCCAGCTTTGATGAGCGGAGATGTTGTGCTTAACTTCTTCAATTTTATTCCAATTTTCAGTATATACTGTTTTAGTAAAGTACGTTTATGACATAGTTACATGTTTGTCTTTCTTTCTTTAATAAGTGAAATCGTATCCTGTTTGACTTGTGATTTTGTATTGGGTTTGAAAAATTATAAAGGTTTGGCAGAACGCTTTTTAAAGATAAATTTCGAGTGTTTGTAAATATGGTTTAATTGACAAAAAACTAAATTATTTTGTTATGAATCAGAAATGAAAAATACGTTTGTCGTCGTTTTTCATGTCGCTCTTAATGTTGAATCTCATATGTGGTTACGTCAAGTAGCAAAAATGTCTTGGAAAGTCACGATGAATACGCCATCCGGTGGTCAAAAAAGGAAGTAGCTTTAAATTGTAATTTGTAATTAACATGCCAGTTATTGGGCACAAAATGAAGCAAAACTATTTAGCACTATTATTAATTCTAATGAAAGTACCACAGTTGACTAAAAAAAGGGATACCGAACATATTTCTGTCTTAATAAATTCATGGCTGGGTAATAAATATAAAAGCTTTCGAAGATAAATCGTTCATCGTCTTTCAATTTTTGAATAGTTTTTCAATCAACCTTTAAAATTGTATTTTCTCATCTTTAGTTATCAAGTTTCCTTAAGTTTTAATGTGGCAGCTTCACTCAAAAAGAATTTTTCGTAATCCGTGTGAAGGATCTAAAACTGTTTGCCTTGTTAGTACACTTAAAAAAAGTAAAAAAAAATATTGTCGGAGAAATCCGATGTGGCAACACAGTAAAAAATTTACTTATCGCTTTGTAAGTTAACTTCTATCAACGGAACATAGCCAGTGTTTCTGAACGTAATCTTTAATATAATTTGAATGCGGTGACTTATTGAGTGATTTTTTTTGGTCTTAAAAAAAGTCTGTAGCTAAAATGTTTTCACAGTCTGTGTGTTTGTTCAGAAACTCCCGCGACACACTTGAATTACCTTTATTGACCCTTTAGCACTCGTACCTGTTGGTTGGTATTATAATTTTGATACATTAAAACTCATTTACCTGTCTGCAAGGGAAAATATACCTTCAGTAATTTATAATTGTTATACATACACACACGTGTCTCTCTCTCTCTCCATTATATATATATATATAGAGAGAGAGAGAGAGAGAG